CATTACTATTATGTGGTGAACTATTTATTTAAAACATGAATTTTAATAACAGCAAAATATTTCACCCACCGGTTTTCAGCCCCTCTCACTCTTTCTGCTTCCTGGGTCTACCAAGATGTGAGCAGGCAGCTGCCATCCACCAGCACGCCTTCCTGCTGCAATGGACTGAATCCAAAATAAGTCCTTCCTTCCTTTTGTTAGTTATTTGGGCACAATGACAAGAAAAGTAACAAACACAGACCCATATAAAAAGTTCACCAGCTCCTAGCCTAGAAGATGGAAACATTGTCTTCTCCATCTTTAATCCCAGAATCAAGATCAAGTTCAGAGCCAGAAACAAACTCAACAGATATTAATTGATGAATGCTTGCATTAATAAACCCAAAAGGGCTTAATAAAATGTGTGTGTGTGTGTGTGTGTGTGTGTGTGTGTGTGTGTGTGTGTGTGTGTACATGTGCACGTGTGCTTTCAGAACACCTGTGATTCCAGGCTGTGCTTCAGAGTACTTGAACCCTGGTCATTCCTGGTTTTCATATGTTTTTACTTCAATAAATACACTTTGACTAAATTCATATTTGGCACAGTCTATCAATCCAAATTTGGATTCATAATTTAAATGACTGGAAGGCCCCTCAAATTCCTGGCACAATGCACACAGGGCCAGCTATGATTAGCCAATGCTTCCTGACAGAACAGCTGGTGGCCTCTATAAGTGAAAAAAAAAAAAAAAAAAAAAAAAAAAACCTAGAGGGAAAGCAGGGTAGGGCAGATGCCAGAAGAGATGGAACCTTCCATGAGTACTGGAATGTCTTTGTCATGGCGACCCAGATGACCCTCAATCCCAAGTCCACCCAGAAACATGGTAAGGATGCTAGCTCATTTTCAAATCTATTGATCGATGTATTCTTCACTTCCTCTTAGGGAAACCATAATTAAACCACTACCTAAGTGCACTGAGCTACTCTACAATCTACAATCAAGTAGCAGTCAAGCATAATCCCCCTTGTCTTGAAAGAGTTGTCAGGTAAAATGAGATATTAAACATACACCTAACACCCAATATGTCCGTGTGCCGTGTGGCAAGCATTTGGTAGATAGAAAAGTTAACAAAATAGGCACCTGCTGGGAAGGAAGCCCTGGAATTAAAATAGGTTCCAGATATTTTTAGCAATGAAAAGACTCCAAAAATGAAGTCAAGGAAAGAGAAAACAGGTGTAGAAAATGGGTCGCAGTGGCTGAATGTCATCTGATAGTCTTTTCTGTGAGGTTTTTCAACTACAACGGATTATATAAATATCACCCTTCTGGCTAGAATGTCATCACATCCTTTCTTCATGAGTCATGCTGTTCCCCAGAGAATAACTTCTTCAGTCGCATTTAGTTTTAAATCCCCTAAGAAAGTGCAGAATTTTCAGTGTGTGTGGATGCAATAAACCACCTGTGTTTCCTGTCCTTTGAGGGTCACAGATGAGCTCTTTCCAAACAGATTTTAAGGGAGAGATGAAGGTGGTTTGTTTGCAAATGAAAGAAAATGAGGAAGGTGGAGACAGAAAGAGAGGGCTCTTTCCCTATGCAGCCAAAGCAGAGACCTGAGCACACCCTCAGGGAGTGCTGTGTCAGCATGGCTGTGCAGGGAAGGTGAGAGTATAACGGACAGGACAGGATTCAGACCTCTGGTGGTTTGAACCAGAGTGACCACCATAGGTTCACATATTTGAATACCTGTTCCCCAGTAGGTGGGGCTGTTTGGGAAACACTTTGGGATGTGGCCTTCTTGGAGGAGGTGTGGCTCTGGGGCAGGCTGTTCCTAGTTAGTTTTCCCTGCCTCCAGGCTGTGGATCAAGATGTGAGCTCTCAACTGTTTCTTTGCTCCACCTTCGTGGACTCTAACCCTCTGAAACTGTAAGAGAGATGAAACACTTTCTTTTATAAGTTGCCTTGGCCGTGGTATTTTATCACAGCAATAAAAAAGCAACCAAGATGGATCCTAACCCAAAGCACCTCAGAATGTGACTATATTTGAAGATGGGACCTTTAAATAGGCAGTTAGGTTTAAAATGGGGCCGTTAAAATGGGGCTGGTATAACCTGAATCTTATCAGAAAGACACAGAGTGCAGTAATTTGAATGTCAAATTTCCCCACAGCCTCGTGTGCAGTAACACTTGGTTCCCAGCTGCTGGCACAGTTTGGGGAGGTTGTAGAGCCTTTGGGACAAGTAGCCTGGTTAGTAGATGTAAGTCACTAGGGCACATCTTCAATGTTGGATTTGATTCTGGTCAGCCCAGGTTTTCTTCTTCCTGACCAGTCAAAATGTGAGAGTGACAGCTACAAGGTCCCACCCCCACGGGTGGAGACACTGCTCTGTGCCTTCATGAGGGTGCTGGGAATCTAACCCACTCTCCTGAAAGAGCAGCCACTGTGCTTACCTGCTGAGCCATCTCTCCAGCCCTGACCTTAAACTTCTAATCACATAACTGTGAGAGAACACATTTCTGTTGTTTATGCCACCCTATGGGTGCCATTTTGTTACAGATGCCCCAGCAAATGAATACAATGCAGAGAGACAGCCTTTGTCAGTACGAACAGGTCCATTACTCCTGTCTGAAATTCCATCATTTTCATCCCTTCACACCAGCAGCAAGCTAGAGAAAGAGAGAGAGAGAGAGAGAAAGAGAGAGAGAGAGAGAGAGAGAGAGAGAGAGAGAGAGGATATATTATTCACATACCAGAACTAGCAGCACAGAGGTGAACACTCCCTCTTGAAGGATAAAAATGAACAAATAACTACAACATCAGCAGCATAAAGATGAGGCTGGTCAGAAAAGGCTTCCCTTCCAAGTGAAGAGATGGTCAGGTTGAGCAAGGAGATGGATGATCTGGGAGTAAACAACCTCAGGTCAGGAAGCAAAAACAAATGGCACAAGAAGCCAAAGATTAGAATGCTGGGTGAGAAGGAACCATGACCAAAGACTAGTTCGACAAGGGCTTCAGATGGTCCATGAAGAGCTAAGGGAAGCCTGGAGTCTAAAGCATGGGGATGAAATAGCATCTGTTTCCCAGAACATCAGCTAGCTGCAGAACTGCATTGATGGCAGATGGAGACTGTGATGAAGCATGACTGTTTCTGAAAGTCACCTGAGGAAGGACAGTGGCCTCTCAGAAGGACGTGAGTGTGAAAGCTGTATCTCCATGACCCTAGCAATGTGATGTAGAAATTAACGGACTGGCCCAAGATGACACTGCAGGGAGAAGGCTCATTTGAGCATCCAGGGGTACCATTCCCAGAGAAGGGGGTGACTCCCAGAACAGCCACCACCCTCTTACTGATCATCACTTCCAAACCTTGCCTGTCATCTGTACCCAGTGCAGTCACCTAGAAGATGGGGTAATGTCATCCACACTTCAGTTTTCTGGACATAGCATTCCTAATTCTTGATATAAGTCTGTAGAAGGAACTTGGGCTCTGTAGTCCAGCTGACCCAGGCTCAAAGTCCAATACCAGGAGCCAGTAACAAAGTGACTTTGGGACAGAAGATTATTGCTCTGGTCCTTGGTTTCTTCTTGTAAAAAATGGGGAGAAAGGCATCCACCCAACTAGGTTGCTATGGAGATGAAGTTAAAAACCAAGAGTCAAGCATGGTGGTAGTACATGTCTGAATTTCAATACTTGGGAAACTGAGAAGGGATAATCAGGTATTTAAAGCTAGCCTCTGCTACATACCAACTTTAAGACTAACCTGGGCTACAAGAGACTTTGACTCAAAAGAACAGAAACAAGATTGCGAGTAGGTACACCTGCTATACTTCATTCATAAACCTCTGCGCACAGTTATCTCTCAGGAATTCTCCAAGGCTTGAGCATTCAGGAAGTGCATCCCGAACAGGCACAAGCAACCATTGATAATAACTGCACAAAGGGAATTATTTCAGACAGATTAGAATATGAAGGCATGATGAGACCCCACTCCCGAAAGAGTCTACTTGAGCAGGAAGCAGCCTTGTACTTTCTTGGTAAGACTTCCTATCTGACTAAAGTTTGACAACCACGGTGTTACAGATAAGACTGAGTCTCAATTTAAAAAAAAAAATCACTGTATCCCTTATAAATCAGGCTTCCTGAACTCTGAGATTTGACTCTTTGTCTCCTTCGAAGCAAAACCAGCTGTACTCAGAGAAGGACTGGCTCAATTATGAAATAAATTGGCTTAGCTCTGAGCTGGGGGAAGAAATGTGGCCATGTTTTTGGCACCTTTTAATTGGAGAGAAATGCTACTATGTTGGAGAAAACCCAAAGAGCAATTAAGAGGAGGAAAGCACTAGAAACTTCTAGAACTAGTTAAAGATCATTTCCAAAAGCTGAGCACACTCAGACTCCAGTAAGGATGGGGTGTCGGAAGGGGTCTGTGAAGACCAGAAGAGGCTTCTAGAAGAGGAAAGCTTCTTGATTTAAGTAGGAAAAATTGAAGTCAGAGTAGAGGAAAATACTTCTAGTAGGCTTCATATAAAATATAAAAGAGCATGATTTGTTGCATCAAGAAGACTGTGTACGTGCTATTTAGCGGAACGTGATGCTTCACAAAAGCTATGATTATAGCAGGCTGACTAAATGGCAGCTGACCTGGACTATGGGGATCTCTAGTAGCATATTGAAAATAAAGCTGGGCCACAACTGAGGGTGGGTAGGTGTGGGACAGCTGGTGTGGAGCATCAGAGTCCTGTGAGAAGAGCCTTGAGTGCAGAGCCTGGGCCAATGTGCTCCGACCCGAGGGGCTCTGGTAATTCGTGAGTCCAAGGTGGATCAGCCTGAAAATAATGGGCGGGAAAGAAAGAACGGGACCAAGCAGGTTTTCTTGTCAAGGCCCATTTATTGATTATTACAAGGGGTTTTTATAGAGAAAGGAGGAAGCAGAGAAAAAGGAGGTGGGGGAGGAATGAATGTTAATTGCTCTCAGGCAGGTATCCGGAATCTCCTGTGTTAAGGAAGTGGGGTGAGGGGTAGTGCCTCTGTCTTAGGTTATGTGAGATGCATCTGCCCCCAGCACTCCCATGACCCTTCATAAGGCTAGCAGCTCGGGAGTGCTTTGGAGTGGGCATCTGGGGGTCAGTCTCACGCTAAACCCGTCATGGAGGACGCTACAGCTGCTGGGAAGGGTCGGCATCTGGCTTGCGGCACCACGATATTCCCGTCACTGACGGCTCCAAAGCCAAGGAGGTTCGATGTTTAAGGCCTGAAAAATCCAGTCTTTTAGGACTGTGGGGGTTTTTATTGTCGTCAGGCAGCTCAGAATCTAATGCCTCTAGGCGATGGTAATGGACCAAAACTGGTTTTTTGAGGATGGTGTCAATCTGAGACTTAATGAATTTGGTTAGTTTTTGAAAAGGTAACAGTTTAGGTAGTCAATCTAGTAGAACAGGCAAGGTAGGAATTAGTAAGTGCCTGCAATTCCCTGATAAAGGGGAGGGGTGGAAGAATAGCAGACCCAACCGTCCTCTATAAGGGAGTGGCTGGCTTGATGAGGGGCCTAATTAAGGATAGAATAAGGTCAGCGGAGGAGGGAGGTCCTGGGGGGGAAAATGGTCAGGGGTTCCCTAGTCTGGAGAGGCCCCTAAGGCTAAAGCACATAAGTCAACTATCAGGGGGCAATAGGAGGGGGTGGTCACAATAGTTGTGGAGGCATTGGCAGCATCACTGGCTCGGTTGATGATCATCCAGGTGTAGTTGTAGATCTGATAAGGGCTTCCAGCATCAACGGCAATCGAAGGTGGGAACACACAAGTAGCCAAAAAGACAGCATCTTTTATCTAGAATTAAGCAGAATTAAAAGGCCGAATTTAGTGTAGACATCCAATCAACATAGCTCACTACAGCCTAGAACTCCTGGATTCAAGTGATCCTCCTGTCTCAGCCTCCCGAGTAGCTGGGACTACAGGCGTGCACCACCGCGCCTGGCTCCTACATGCATATCTAAGAGAATGTCTAATTCTCTGGAAGTGGAGGTACAGACACTAGAAGCGCGGAGGCAGGCGTTTCATTCCCCCAAGTCAGCATCATGCTGCATCCCCAAAGGCCCAAAGGCCCAGCTGTCCCCGCCGCTAGCCCAGGCTCGGCAGGCAGGTCCACGAGCGCTGGGTGGGACTAGGCCACACTGGCTGTTCCAGTAGCACCAGTCTCGGGAATTAAGCACAAAATTGCTGGAAAGCTTTGCTAGTATATCCAGACCCATTATTTGTTTTTATAACTTTTGGCACTCCCATGTAAGCAAAACATCTTAAACAGTGACTTATAACATGCCTGGTGGCTTTGCCTGTTTGTGGAGTGGCACATTTTTAACTTGCCAAACTCTGTAATGTGAGTCACATCCATTCGCCATAAATGGTTGGGGAGCAGGCCTTGAGGATTTACCCTTAAATTAGCCATAGCCATATTGTGGACATTTTTCTCATTGTTTGATGATTTGACCAGCAGTCTCTCTGGTTAAGCCAAATTTCTTTCTTAGACTTTTGCTATTATGATGAAGAAAGTTACAAGCCTGTCAAGCTTTTTTCTATTTAAGGCAAATCAACTGATTTTGTTAATCAGTTAATTCATTCCATTTGGCTAGTAATCAGGGAAAGGC